AATGCAAAGTGTTGCATTTTTTACATACACAAAAATGTGTCTCTACAGCTGTCAGTCAACGACGGCGTTTGGCGAACGTGAGCTGTTTATGTATGTTTTGTTTTCAGGGAAGTAAGCACCAAGTCGGATATATCGGAGCTTTAGGAAAAATACAAGTTTTGAGGTCATTGTTATGACTTGGAAGTTGACGTGAACGTAAAAGTCGGAAACTCATCCAATAACAGCCCAGAATAATAATAAAGTTGCAAGCTGGAGGCAGGGCAATGTTAATCAAGCACAGTCTGCACACTCCCACACAAGCCTGAGAAAAGGTCTTATCAACAACTTTCCCCTAAGTTTCATCAAAATATGTTGTTCATTTAGACTTCCTTGCAAAAAACCAAACAAAAGCAAACACATAAATCACCTCAGTGGAAGTTAAGTAATGACACTTCGGAGCAGGAGCCACACATATGTCATAACTGCACAGCACCAATGTGCGTAACACATTTTCTAGCACACACAACAAACAGAAAGCATATGGTGACATAAGGCAGAGAAGCAAGAGTACAAGCAGAATAATAAGCACCGCATGCCTTTTGTTTGTTGATATACGAAGCAGATGCTGCATTCTCCATCACAATTTTCACAAATTCACCTACATGTCATTCAGATGTGGAGGCAAATGCCAAAGTGAAGTTTGTTGAGGTTTTTTGGAGTCTGGATGAAACACAAAGCAGCATTCATCATCAAGTCTTTTGTGCATTTTGATATTTTTGTGGTTTGCAGCAGAAACAATATCCAACAAACAACTGGGCTTTTCATACCTTCTATTTATTTGTTTCTTGAGGTTTTCCAAGTACCTGTCAAAAGAGATGTTAATTTTTTTTTTTTTACCAGTGACTGGATAAATGTGTCATTTTACATTCACACGTTTAAAAAAGAAGAAACTACACCGCATCACTATACTAAAATACTTGAAAGCATGAGTATAGCTTTACACAGATTTAAGATATGCTGTTTCGGTGACTAATGGGCAACAGATTCAGACCTTCCGAGCTTTGAAGTTAACCTCTTTTGTTCCCTGGACCCAAGTCAAAGGTTTAAGAGGAGAAAAACAACAAACATTCCTTTGTTTAACAGAACGAGGTGTCCACTTTTCACTTTGAGTTGTGGTTTATTTCCCACTCGGGGGGGTCAGTTGACTGAGTGGTTTGAGGCCAACTATAAGGCAGTGTGTTACGGTCACTGCTGCCCACCTAAAGATAATCACCGGCTCCTGGGGTGTGAATCAGTGTGCAGGATCTCAGTCATTTACAGCCCAGACCATCTCAGTCAGCCGCTGATGTTGTTTCATTACCACCTGCGCTGTGGTGTGAACAGAAAATTTGCTTCCCACTGACTCAGACTGATTGCAGGTGGAAACAGTAAGAATTGCTACAGATACAGAAGTCATATCCCTCTCGTCAGACCCTCCATTTTTCTTTCCCTGCCCCACACTGATTCGTTCCTCAAATCCAAAGTGGATTAAAGAAGTGATTATGGCAAGATGGTTGCAGGGCAGGTGATTACTTCCCACAACAACTTTTTCTGAATGGTTAAACCTACTACAAGGAGTTTTTTAACTGGTTATGAAACAGTCTAAAGTTCTATACTAATCTCTCTATATGACCTAACAAACAAGGCCATCAGCGAGAAGATTGGCTATTTCCATACAGTTATTCTTAATGCCTGCCATCGGGTCGGATTTGGTTGGATTCCCCTTGAAATAAATGAAACGAGGCAGTGGAAACACTACAAATTCTGTCCACAGGGGGCGCCAGAATCAACACAAAATGAAAGTTCCTTGCTGCTGCAAGTTATTTTTTACCGTGGTGTTATTTTATCTTTTTTCTACCATAAACAAACGTCCCGAACAGACCAAAACCAAAAATAAATTTAAATCCCAATAACAAGTGTTGTCTGTGTCAGAGTGATATAGCTCATATCTCTGTGCCAAATCACATAAAACAAAAAGCCAATGTGAGAAAAAACACAGCTTTGCTAGTTTGAGGAATAGAGAGAAAAAAAGGGAAACTGACCGTGCTCATTATGATTTCATCATAACATTTGGGTGTAAAAGATTTGGTAAGCAAAAAATATAAATAATTAAAGCTTTCAACAACAACATATTCCATTTTCTTTAGCCAACAGACTGGACAGGCATATGTTCGCAAAAGAAGAAGCTTGTATGCATTCCTTTTGTACTACACAAGCCTATAGACATATGTATTAATTATTGCCTGAACCTGAGCGTTCACACACACACAATACCTTGATAAATCAAGGCTGATTGGTCTGCCATCATGCTTCTCCAGTCTTCACCCATCCAAGTGGATCAGTGACCCAACACCTTCAGCCAGCAGCCAGACATCACTTATGCGGACACCAATACACATTTGATCCAATAACCAGGTCAAGGGCTGAAACTGAGATGCATCCAGATTCAACCAGCTTAGTCTGGATGTTGAAAAAAAGTGACTCCAGGATAGGCAGGCCCATGTAGCAATAACATTGCCTCACAATCTCTTCACAGCTGCATAGCGAGCCACCTGACCTGACCCGCGTCCAAGATCACGTCTCGTGTACTAGGATCAAAGTCTCGTTCACTTGGTCCAGAGAACGACTGTGAAGAGCCATTTACCTTCCAGAGGGACAGAAAACGTCTGGAACTAGTGTTTGGATTTTGTTTAAATAAATAATTAAAAACTAATAATGAATGCTGGGTGAACAGAGGCTAGCTTTGAGAGTGTGGAAGCTGTGTTTCTGTGGGGTTGTGTTAAAGTTTTTTGTCTAAAAAAAGAAAAAAAAAACAGCTTTTCTGGAGAGTTTGAGCAACCTATTTTTATCACAACAGTACCAGACCACTTTGGTAAAGTATACAATTTATTTTTAATAATCAGGTTCAATATCTGAAACAGTCATCTTCCTCATTTTCGCTGACATTACAATACCAATCGCAATCAAAACCAAATATTCTCATCTTATCAACAACAGATGGAAACAGCAGTCATCATCATCACCATCACCATCACCTGTCATCACACCACCACCGTCATCAACTATTTGTCATCTTAGCCATCTTTAGCAGCAGCAGCAGCAGCATCGAGCCAATGGTTTAATAAATTAGGAGGTACATAACAAAACATTTCAGGCAGTCAAGTCAGTCACCATAACAAAATGAGGTATATTACACTCAGTTCATTGTCAGCTACCAACAACAGTTAAAACTTAATTTGCATTTGAAGCAGCACATTCTGTAACACTCAAACAAATACAGTCATCATAAATTACATGTACGTATATCAAAAAGACACAAAAATACTTTTCACGTTGTCATTTATCTAAATCTGTCAACACATATTGTTTCATGTTTAGTTTTTCACCAATTACCATCATGTATGAGAAAAATAACTACTCCACATCAATGCAAAACAGCGAGAAGTTACCATGGAAAGCAGAATTAGGGTACAGAAATACAAAGGCAGATTCTAGATGCTTATGTTTTAATTAACAGAAGTGAATAAGGCAATGATTGATTCTATCCCTATTGTTCAAGATATCCATATGTCTTTGTAAATGGAAAAAAAACACCATATATTACAGAATTTAAGGCATTGGTTGTCTTGTAGTGTCATACAGTACCACGCAACGCATCATATATACAAGACAACCATTTCTCCTCTGTATAACCATAAATCCTTAAATGCATGGACACAAATAACAGCCAATATGTATTAATTAGTAATTACTTAAATAGTTTCTCTGAAGTTTTCAGAAAATTAATTGCAGCTACTAATGTTTGGCTCACTGGGCATCATTGATCATTTTGGCACTACATACAGTATCTCACTGTTGGCCCTTTATATGCACAGCCAAAATGCATTGTGTATCCAAATCCATCAAAAATCCAATTTTAACAGTGTAAACTAAAAATCCCTAGAGTAAACGTTCACAAAACGTCTCGTTCTATATCTTCTGTTTTCTGAACTAAGGTGCTGAAGCACCTCTATCTACAGTAACTCTATAACAAGTGGAAACCAGCCAAAAGCCCTCTGATACAGAGCTGCCTGTCTTCTGATACAGAAAAAAAAATAGATATAATAGTTACAACATGTAGTGGGTTGGATAACACTTTGTCAGTTGACAGGGCTCTTGGGCTTAGGCCTGTCTTCAAGAAATGCCTGGGAACCACTATACTGCACAAGCAATGGGACTAAATAAATATACAGACTCTATTCAGCGTGACAGTAAAAATGTGGTGTTGCCGTTGTTCTGTAGCTATCGATCTCATTAAAAAACATACTGGTTGCCAAGTATCTTTCTTAAAAACACTGTAAATGACATATTGATCTCCATGGATACATTTAAATATGCAGATGGAGATTTAGTTATAGAGATGATTCTTGGAAGCAAAGCTGCTCTGAAAAGAAAATAATTTAAAATGGGAGCTGAATTGAATTTATAGTGCTTAACATACTGTACATGTATTACATACACTGCGCAGCATCTATTCAAACAGGTGCAGTTTTCTAGTTTCAAATACATAATGGGGTATTCTCAATGCTAAACGATACTGAGATGTCAGCAGTGATTGTTTTTTAAAATCTCTTCTTTGGAGATAACCCCCTTCCCTATCCTCTGTAATTTACTGTTCCTAGTTTAAATCTTTTTTTAATTTAAGCATTTTTTTAAGCACATAATTCAGTTGTTCCAGCTTCTCAAATGTAATAATTTTGTGGTTTTCTTATTTTTCCGATATAATAAACAGAATATCTTGTGTGTTTTCTGATATTTATGGACCAAATCAAAAATCAATTAAGAAGAAAAGAACTAGAGCTAGACAAAGAAAATTGTCGGATTATTCAGTAATGAAAATAATCCTTTACAGACCTAAAAATTATTTTAGGAAGAACTTGTTTTGGCTTCTTTTTGTTTTGGTTAAAGTAAAATTATTTTTATTGTGAAGAGAGGTTATTTGCCATAAAGTAACGTCATTCCAACTCTTACACTCATGTGCCGAACCATTACCAAAAATATGAAAAATATTTGCTTATATAACTATGAGTGTCACAGGGGGATTTTCAACATCTGTTGCTTTGTTTAGTTTGAGACATGAGTTACTTCTGGAAGTAAAAACTATTGGATCAAAAGAGATGGTTAATATTGTAAAATCTAGTCTTTTCTAATGTAGGCAATCTACACCCTCCACATTCATAGTAGTCTAGTACAAAACTACTATGATCGTAGTTCATGTTCTCCTGAATAACAAAAACAAGCACTTAATCTTGTTTAGGAGCATGATGATTGCCTTCATTGAGTCTGACAAACATTATAAATATTATTAGCATGTTCAATAAATTGTGACAGGGTTATCCAAACAAATATAAGGTGGTGCCTTCGAGGTGCTGTCAGAAACTGTTAGAAAGTCTGTGTTAGATGTTTAGAAACAGAAAGCAGAGACTATTTATTTTGCTTTACTACTGACTGAAGCAAAAAATATCATTTCTGCTTCCATAGCTGCTTTGCTCTAAGAATAGCTTGTATCTTTGCATGGACGGCCATCATTGCTATTAAATATAGACATTAAAATAAAGACATCATGTACTTTTGTCTTTCTTGTCCATCTTGTTTAAATGTGTGAGAAAGCAAAGTAACAGTCTCTGCAGGTTACCCCTCTCTGTGAGTACCAACCCGTGTAAGTACAGTCTCTAATGCTCCACTTGACTAAACAACCTGAGGGGCGCACGTCAGTCATGAGAGCAAAGGCAGCCGGTTTGAAGGCCCATTCTCCCCATTAAAACTCTGCTTGGCTGGGTCAGTAGGTCCTTCAAAATAGGTGCTGAGAGGACAAACGACGGCAAGGTGTTATGCACACAAAAAAACATATAATCTTGCTTTTTCCTTCATTAGCCTTTACAGTAGAAGGCCATGTACAACAAAAATACCCTAGAATTGGTTTAATTGGGAGTGTGTTTTACCCCATCAATCTGAAATAACCTGAGCCGAACTGTCTGCTGTATGTTTTCATCAGTAATACAATTAGGGAACTTGGTTTTGTATCAGGTTTTGGTTAGGCTAGTTTTCAGTGCTACATACAGCATCAACGTATCAACTTGTCACTTTGCACAAACTAAAACAGACATACAGCCATCCCTTATCCTTTTTTTTTTTTTTTAAGATAATATAAATATATACTACAGTAATGTCAAAACAAACAGATATTCTGTCAGATCCATATATCTTATATCAGACTGAAAGGTACCCTAGATTAAAATCATGAGGCTATGAACTGGCCGTTCTTCTTGGGAGAGCACATCTGTCTCTCCAGGTGGATGTGAAATCTGCCGTAGTTTATTGTCCTCAAAACAAGTTCACTGCACTGATCTGCTGTTCCGGGCGCTCAGTATGCAAGCACAGTGGTATTACTGTGCAGGGATTTGCCCTTGTCTTTTTTTGGGGGGGGGGGGGTGTCAGACCAAATTCAAGCAGACGTGGACAGGAACAACCGATATTTGTTCTCTTCTTCATCAACAATAAATCAGCTTCATATTTCCCTGTCACTCCGCCGTCGGTATGCTGTTGCCTTGGTTCTCATGCCTGCGCCCGGATGCGTTCAAAGAGCTCCGCTTCAGCAGCCTGTTGATGATGTCAGTGCATGTCTTCTTGTACTGGTGTCGAAGCAGGGAGTACACGAAGGGGTCGCAGGCTGCCTTGCTGTAAGTTAAGCACTTGGATACAATTCCCCAGTGGGGGTTGATAGGCACCGCTGGAAATAACTCCACGATCCTGCAGGCAAGCATAAAGAGAGGGTGGTGAGAGAGAGAGAGAGAGAGAGAGAGAGAGAGAGAGAGAGAGAGAGAGAGAGAGAGAGAGAGAGAGAGAGAGTGTGTGGTGGAAAGGCAAGTCAACAGGCTGGAAAAGACATGCATGCCCTAAGCTTATGCGGGAACAGAAATACATTTGCAAGACACTGTTGCCCATAACATATATTTTTTTATCATTGGAAGCACTTCAGTGCTTCTTTGTAATTATGTAAAGAGTGTGTGTTTATGTAGACTAATCTCAGTAAGTATTCTGTCTTAAGTTATTGTTTGCAATCTGCTACGAGATAAAATGTAGGCAGCTGTCAAGTGAAACTACGTGAAGAGTTTCCTTCTTTTTCTCTCTCGTGTGTGGATTAACAGTGTGAGGCTACTTTTCATCTCATTTCTCATTTGCGGCCAGCAGCATTTCATGTCAGAAAAGGCAGAGCCACCAGAAGCATAAAGCAGACCTGTCTAAGCAGTAATGAGTGTCTGGAAACAAGCCAATTAACTTTGATTGTTATTTAATACAATATTAGACTGAGGGCTAAGCAGATAATCTTAAAGGACGGAGAGTCCTTCCAGCAGTTCATGGGGAAAATAAATACTCTTCTGTACTTAAAGTATTTGATTTAAAGGGGCACATAATGAGATTTACAGTCTATCCTGTTGTCTGCATCTCAAAGTAGCTGATCCCAGTTATGCTCAAAACGATAGAAAATTGGTGCTTTCGCACTAATTTTTGTCAAGTGCAAAAAATATTGTACCACACATGGTGTCATAAAAGGTATAAAAGAAACGCTGATCCTCTACTCTTGCACTCTGTATGATTACTCTGTCCACAATCAAGCTCTGTCAGCACATTAACACTGGGCTTACATGGGCCAGTAGCCATCACTGGCATTTGCCCACAGACTCCACAGCCCCAGAGTGAACAGGAGTCAGCTGCCACACCGCACAGCAGGGCTTTTACTATACACATGATGACCCTGACAACAAATGAGCATCAGCGGAGGCTGTGGAGGAGCTTTTAGCGTAATATATTCAGATTGTAATTAGTAAACTGCCATTTGTAGAATTAGAGCTGTTGTGGTCATTCATTACTGGCAGTTTACTGATAATAACAAATTGTCAGTGCTTGTTGTCAGCATGCTGAAAAGCTCGATGTCAAAGCCTCTGGTGTTTTAATTACGACAACTTGGTTTCATTTTAAAAATTTCAGCTTCTTAGAATTTAGTATTTTAATTAAAAATATGAATGGGTTAATGGTATGATCATTTCATACCGTACCAGACACACAGTCTCATTTGGTTAAAATTATATCCTCAATGTTCATTTCACCCAAATGACAAAAAACACACATGCTGTGTCCCAAATCCGCACTGCATACTAATTCTAAGCAGATTTTTAGAATATAGTAGGGATGGATTCACTGATTCCCATCAGTGCATCGGCACGAAAGTTTAAGATGTGATTGCACCGATTAAAAAAGTGTACACCGGATACATTTTTGGATGAAATAGAGATGCATTGCTCCTGACATCTTGCATCTGTAAAACTTGTTTTTTTTATAATTATTTGTATAGGCCCTATGCCTTTATTATTCAGAAATGTAACTGTGTAGAAATTTGCAACCAAAAATGTAACATTTAGATTGTCTGTACCATATTGAATTGCATAACATCATATTCTTTTGCTTCGCATCATACTGTGATGAATTGCATTGAGTTGAATCAACTCGTGTCGAATTCCCCTGCATGGCAATATGGGTATCATATCATATTGCAATTGTAGATGCTTCATATGTATCTTTAAGGTATAGGTCACATGTATAATGTGTAACCACACCAAACCAGACAGTATGCAGACTAAATACAGTCGATTTGTGGAGAACGCTGTTGATTGATACTCTTCTCCAACAAGTCAGTGCACAAAGGAAATGGAGGAGCTGCTCACAGCTGGAAAATTATTAAAATCAATTGTGGATGCTGGTGAAACAATTCCAGAAGATGTTGGAAAACAATAATAAGTAATCAGTCTTAAGAAAGACATTTTGCTTTCCATCTAGTTTGATGTATGTTTGACGTCATATACATATAACGTCCTGTTACAGTATAAAGCGGTTAAGTGTGGTTGGGTTTTTGTATACTGACTGGTAAAACTATGACGATTAGTATGTTGTGCATACTGTATAGAATTATGTAGTAAAAATTGGGTACACAGCTCCTATTTTTGCAGTTAGTCTATAAGATATCAACATACTTAATCATATTATAGCAGCAGGAATAGCTGAAACTGCAACTTTACATTGTCACTGAGAATTTAAAAAAATATTAATTAATATTAACTATATTAATTTATTTGCATGTACTTTGTATGATTTAAATAAAACTTCCTTCTCACATGTCCACTGGCACGTCACTTATTTGTCTCACTCACTAGGCTTCATGTGACATCCTCTCTTTGTCCAGTGATTGATGTGAGCAGATTCTACCTGACTAACTGATGCACTCAACGAACTTGAGCAGAAAAGTGCTAATGCAGCAGCAACAGCAGAGCAGAGGCATATTACTTATCACAAGGTCAGCCAATCTCATCTTCCAACTCTGGCCGGTGTGGAGAGGAAGCAGAGAGGAGGTGGTGGTGGTGGTGGTGAGGGGGGAGCTGACAGCAGAGGAGGGAGGTTTGGGGGATACCAGCAAAACAAAAGGGCTGTGTACGCCGCAGTGTGCCAGCGTGGTTTCCCTCTCCCTCCCTGCATGGGTCTACCTCCAACACTCACCTTGTGATCACATAGGGAGCGAAGCACAGCATGAAGGTGCCGATGAAGGTGCTGATCTTCCTTGACGCTCTCTGTCGTCGCCTCTTCTGCTCCTCCAGGCAACGCTGGCGAACACTGGAAACAGGGAGAATTCAGTGCGTTTATAATCAGTTGGACACACTCGAGGAAGACCACAAATGTCTCTAAACTTCTAATAAAAGACAGCAAAGAGTGGATGTGCTTCTGTTTATTTCTGTTGTGCAGGGGTTAAATATTCGAGGCGCCAGCAGGGGCTGAGCTGAGGTAAAATAAGAGATTCATCCCAAAGACTCTCCTTACAAAGTAAGGCGGTGAAAATAACCATTTCAACACTTTCTATGTGTGCATGTGTGACTGTGTTAGTGCCATGGCTGTGATGTCATGATGACAGGCTGCTTGTCAAGTGTCACCATGACACACACACACACACACACACACACACACACACACACACACACGCACGCACACACATATTATATATATATATATATATATATATATATATATATATATATATATATATTTATATATATGGGAGCAGAGAAAAGCAATAACTCTGGGTGACATTTCAATAGAATCCAATTTGGCATCCCCTCTGAATACTCAGGACACAAAATTCTGTGAAAAGATGACAAAGCATCATCAACTGTACATGGATAAAGAACAGTGTCATTTCAGGATTCAACATCAATATGAAAAGAAATGATGGCACCATCTACACTAATTGCTCACAGATTTCTTTTATTTGTACAGTTTGTTCTTTTTTCTCTCTTCTCTAGCTGAACAATCTTAAAATTCCCTTATTTGCTTTCCTATTGTGAATCTAATCACAGATTGCTCTGGAATAAGAGATGCATGATGCAGGACAAATGCAAACAGGAATAGTAAGTTAAAGAAGCTCACCTGGGGTGTATATCCACCAGCAGCACCAAAGTTTGCATTGTGATAACGTCGATCCTCTTACAGTGAAACCTTGCCACTTTAAGCACTTTGAGGTATGTGACACACAGCACTATAAAAGACAGGAGAAAGGTGAAGGAGTGGAAAAAGACGGTGAAGATAACAAACTGGGTCCGACTGCTCGCCCTCGGGTTGGACAGGGTGCAGGACGCGTAAAGCCGGTGGTATCCCACCCAGGAGAGGCTGGTAGCCACCGTGGAGAAGGACATGGAGTGCGCCCACGTGTACCCGAGCACAAAAGCCGCGTCTTTATGGCGCATTTTGGAGTGGTACCTCAGGGGGAACACCACCGCGATCCACCTGTCGATGCTCAGTGCTGCCATGCTCAGCATAGAGTTGGTGGACAGGAAGGTCTCCAGGAAGCCCACAATCTGGCAGAAACCGTCTCCTCCCGGTTGAGCTTTGCTGACAAGTCCCGCCAAAGTGAGCGGCATGTTGGACACGGTCAGCAACAAGTTGCAGAAGGTGAGATTGAGGTTGAACAGACCCGGGACCTGCTTGCGGATCTCCGGATTGTACAGAAAGCAGATCAGCACCAGGACGTTGGACAGCAACGACACTATAATAATCACAACCACCAACACAGAGAGAATTACCTCCGCAGTGTCCATCCTGTGGGCCCCGAAACTCACTTATCCCCACTTTTTGTGTGCATTTCCAGTCTTGTTTTGCAGCTGCAAAATGGCATTAATCACCCATAACCGTGTCCATGCATCCCCAGATCTCTCCACCGGTGGAGACCCCCTCTTTCTCTCCACTACATTGTCTCTGTACACGAGCCAGCAGAGATGATCAGGAGGATTCCGGCATGAAAAGTAGTATGTTTGAGGATTCCTTGCTGCACGATCTCCCCTCTTTTCCTACAAACTACAGGAAAGCGGCTCTCGTGCCAAAGCTGCTCTATTCTGGCACTGCGTCTTGCAGTGGGGTTTTGTCGTCCTGTGATGCGCTCTCGAGGCATCACCCCTCCGCACACACCGCACAGTGTGTGGGCTACTTGATCTCTCCCCAGTCTCCTTTGAGAAACAGTAAAAGACGAATAACCTTGATTGAGTTAAGTGGGGATTCCTACTAGGAAACGAAAATTGCATTGATTCCCAAGAGAGTTTCCTTCTTTTCACATAATCCAAACTTATACTTGCAGAAAAAAATGTCAGACAGATTAATAAATAAATAATAAATGACACGTGATGTAGGTAAATGTATGCGTTTGTTCTGTTTTTGATTTTTGATTTTTAGTCATTTAGATTTATTTTCTAGGGATACCTGGCTAAGAAGGCAGCAGTGCCATGACAATAAACACAGACAACGTATTCAGGGAAAGAAAGTGTCATCTTGTTAAGAGCCCATATTTTAATTAATTAAAGGAGATTTAAAAAGATAAACAAGCTGCTTAAGCAATTGTCAAGTGATTATTTTTCCCCACCCTGGCTCATTACTTCTTTACTTTCACTTCATATCTTTCTAAACTGAATAACTTTGGGTGTTCTTCATAAAAATATGCAGAGATCCCTAATATTGTGTGTTTATTGTGTCTCTACCTGGCATGATTAATCTATGAGATGTACTTTCAACCCTTCTTTTGGAATCAAAATGACTGATAAAAGAAAAAAGACACATTCACTTTAAGGTGGCTGAGTCTGGTTTCATTGCTCTGAACGATCACTGCATTCCAGCAGCATCTCTTCCCCTCATGCTTTACTCAAATATCTTCACAAATTAAGTCTGCTTCATCACATTGATAAGGAACAACATCTTCTGTTCCCCCTGGAAGCCGGATGATGACGCCCCCACACTCTGCTGCCCCTCTGGACTTGAGTGTGGAGAATTTTTCCTCTGAAGCGTGGGACTCATCGGAGTGTGCTGCAGCACGTGAGCCACTGAAGGCGCTGGAGCAGGGTGAGGTGGTGGTTGCAGTAAGGGGAAGGGGGGAGTCAGAGTGAGAGTGTGTGGGCGGAAAGAGTTATTGTTACTGCAACACATGCACATGGTATTTGACTGTGGAGATGTGAGGCCACCTTGTTCTCCTCATGCTCTACCTTGGTGGCAAAATCTGAACACGAAGAGGAGAAGAAAGGGAGATTTGCCTTGAAAGTGAGGCTCATTAAAATGTCATCCTGTAATGCTGTCTGTGGAGTATATGGGCTGATGTTTGCTCTTAATGCAAAGAGAAGGCGGCTGCAGGGATAGGACAACCCTGCCAGCTGCTGGGTGTTATTAAGCTGAAATGCAGCTCCATCTTGGCCCCCGAGTAAAGCTTTGGCTATGATGGATGCATTTCCAGCATTATACTTTCACATGTGATGGGGCAATCAGCCTTCGGAGGAAGGCACACTCTCAAGCGCTGTCATGCAACTGCTTGTGCAGCTCCTTCCTGTCAGTTCAGAGGCCTTATCAGCGCAGAGCCACCAGTTGATCTCAGGCGCAAGTGAAGCTTTTTGTAGGCACAGCTTTAATTATTCTTTTCATAATTAAATGCCAGCTCCACAGACAATAACGTCTGTGAAAAAAGTCAGTCTAAAAATATAGCTTTGAGGGGACTGAGTTAAATGGATGGAGATTTAATGTGCACGGGTGAGAGGATTGCATATGTGATGGATTTTGTTGTTCTACCTGCCAAAATTTCTTAAAAAAAAACTATTTTTGCTAAAGATCTTTTAGTCAGAACAAAGCCACACAAACATCATCATTAAGTGCAATGCCACATCAGACAGACGCGCATGGAAATGGCTTTTGATAAATATGGATGATGTTTTTCAAAATTACAGAATGTCCACTTTCATTCCACCTGAAAGAGGCTTTATTTGAGGCAAGCATTATGTTAATGCAGATCAATGTAAATGAGGCCTGATTCGAGGTGGACACATGGGCTTTGACGCCTCCTAGCCTCAGGTAATATCACCTTGGATTAATACAGCACAGCAGCTCCATTGTCTGATGTTGGTAAAGTACATCTCATAGATTAATCATGCCAGATAGAGATGGAATAAACACACAAAATATTAAGGGCGCTTGCATATTTTTATGAAGTAAACGCCAAAGATATTCAGTTTAGAAAGATATGAACTTTAGAAACTTCATCAGGCCTTCATCTTTTTATGCTTTGATGATGGTCAGATAGACCAAAAGCTTGCTAAATTAAGTGATGTATTGCATGGATCTAACGTTAAGTGTGGGGAAATCTTCACTATAAGTTTAGACACTGAGGCTTCCAGCACCTTAGCAAATCATCCTGGAATTTAGAAAGATGGAAGCGGTGAATATTATAAAGGATGATTAATCCATTATTTAAATTGTTGACCGACTGACTCAGTGTTTATGCACTACTTGACTTGTTTTCACCAGTTTGATCTGTTTCTGGAGTTCAGCAGTTGGTTCTCTATTTTAAAAAATCACATTCCCCCTGCCTGCTCTGTGCATGCCTCTGGCTGCTTTTAAACCAAGTGAAAGACTTACCATTGTCATTATTGATTATCTTCTTAACTGTGTGTTAACTCGTAAAGATTGATTCTGTATCACCTACAATCTGAAATTTTAGGGGGGAATCTTTCATGTTTGAGACAAGTCAAGATATCTCAAGTCGGCAGATCTGCACTTTGATGATAATACTTCTTGTCAGAAGGTTTAACAAGTGCAGGACTCGACTGTGAGAGATGGTAGGATGAGAGAGAGAGCCTGCAGCACTCCTCCTTTTTGCTGTGGCAGTGTGGATTTGAATTTGCTGCCAGTTCCAATTCCACACTTGACTTCCCTCAGATTGGCAGGCTGGCGTACATTTCAAACTTAGATGTATGCTTTAGCTCCTACGTTTTGCAGACTCACCTTTTGAATATAGACTTGTCACTTATATTTTGAACTTATATCAACTAGTGACGCAGGATTTCTATGTTGAGTTGAGAGGAGCTTACTTCAGAAAAAAGTTTGTGGTATTTAGTGTAAATTTGACAATTGGAAAACTCAGACTTGACACCATGTGTTATGTAACTCAAGACAGTGCATACATACTGTATGAGCTGACTGGTAGCACAGCGGTCTTATGGCTCATAAAGGTCTCAGAGGTGAGGACAGGAGGGAGACTCACTCTGACAAGAAGCTTTATACAAACAGAGTGAAATGTCAACCTGCAAGTGAAGTCTAAGGAAGGTGTTGACACTGCTAACAATAATGCTGGGATGTCAGCTTCCTTTTACCTTGGCCTAGTCATCACCACTGCAGTCTGTTTGATACTCAAGTGTGGTATGACAGCTTCCACATGGGTTTAAAAAAAAAAAAAATGGGACATTGTCCAGAGCTGCTGGTATTAAAGGTCCAGTGTGTAGGATTTAGTGGCAACTATTTGAATACCACTCAGCCTTCCAAGGGTTTAGGTGAAACTATGGTGGACACAAAATGTGTGAAAAACATGAAAGGCCCTCTCTAGAGTCAGTGTCCAAGATGGCGGCCCCTGTAGAAGAGGACCTGCTCCATCTGTAAATAAAAAGTGTCTGAATGTAAGGTAAGAAAAGCACAACAATTATTTTTTTCAGGTTGTTATACACTAATGCAAACATACCTATGAATATTATATTCCATCTAAAATATCTTCCTAATGTTACACACTGGACCTTTAATGCATCAGAAACAATAATTTATTCATTTAATAACATAACACTCTGGATGCTGTATATGAATGTTAGAAAAGCCTCCCTGCTAAGAGGCTTTTGTCCATGTCCTACATCTGTATGCCTGGCTGGGCAGTGAACCACCAAAACCCTTCTGAACAATCTGAGGCCCCTGTCTTTTCACATTAGCTGTGGTGATGTTGAGGAAACCCAGCACCAAGGCTGGAGTTCGCCATCAGCAGTTTATAATCAGAACACTGTTAATACAGGCACTGGACTACGGAGTACAAGCTTATTTTCATTATTTCATTCATCATTATTTTCAACATTGGCAATGTGACAACTGTCATAGGTACCAAAGGAAATGATTTTAGTATGACATGGTGTTACTGTTTTACAGTAGGTGCTAACATATAGCTTTTTGCCTCCTTGTTTATATTTGGACCATAAAACATTGAACTGGAATTATTATCCATAGCTGGGCAGTTTTCGGCAAATATTAGCTATCCAGCTTCTTAGGATGGAGTCAGATTTATAGTATAATTATGTAAAACTGTTGAACCTTACAGAAGAGAGCTGAAATGAGCTGTATTTTTGGACTAACGTTGACAGAAGAAAAAGGGCCACTGAGTTTGATACCAGTGGGATTAAAGACAGATGTTATTGCACATTGATCCTTGAAGATGTCAATCCAGGTCATATAGTCACTCAAATGTAGGGTTATATGTCTTTAATCTCTTTATTTCACAGATGAGTTCACAGTGTCATTGTCAGCTGTTCTTTGAAGCCTGTACTACCTCAAACAGTGAAAGCAAACAATTTGCAATGTATTGATCTACTTATTAGCAATTCTCCAGGAAAGTGCCAAGTATCAGGCTTGCTGTGAAGCTGCAGGGTTTGGATTCAGTAACATCCAGATATACATACAGCAGAGGATTTCACTTCTTGTGTTTCCAGGGCACAAGCTTTGAATGTATTTAAATGCTCAAAATCTTTTCTAATGCAGATGAACTTGATTAGATTTCTCCTCCACGGTGGCGTGTGAGTTAAAATCTTTCTTCCTGACACCAGTTTAATCAGTTTGTCATACAAATACATCATATTACAGCAATTTGAAGGGGAAAGCAATACTGTTTTCTAATATATCTGTTGTGTCTACTGTCTCGAGTGATCAGTGTCAGTCAGCACAATCCAGCGCTAATGTAGAAGCCGAGGAGCAGATCTGACAAATAATATGTCCAGTTTATATAAAGCCTCGAGCAACGGACTAAAAGACCTTTATTTGACCCCAGTAAATGTATGTTTTCAGCGTATTTCTCTTGTTTTTGAGTTACTTCATGTGTTGAGAGAATATCCATTATTTTTTACTACCATTATTCATTTTGATCAGTAAAAATATAAGAAAGTTATAATTCCCCCTTGAAGGTAAAATTATTTTTGTGGCCTAGCTTGCAATCAGTATTTGCCAATATTAACTGTTTTACCCCCCAAAGCTAGAAACCAATTAACTAGAACTGAAACCTGCTTCATAGACAGTAAAAAAGTCCATAAAATTTTGGATTGATTTAACAAGGCGATGCCCTTAAGGAATAAAGATTTTCTTCCCTTGGGTAGAGCACCTTAGTGAACCAGCTCCACACTGCCTGTGTGTGTAGTGCATGCGTGTGGCGGAGCAAGGGTTTTATTATATTGTATTTATCAAAGGTAAACTCAACATAGAAAGACTGGGCTGACTGTTCAGCGA